TGGATGGATGGATGATGGATGGATGGTAATGGATGATGGATGGACAGATGGATGGATGATGGGTTGATGATGGATTGATGATGCGTGGATAAGTCAGAACTTCAGAGGAGGAGAGATGAATTCTGCTTGGAAATTCAGGGGAAGGCTAGAGAGAGGGGTTGACTGGTCTTGGGGGACAGTGTGGCAAAGGCTTGGAAGTGATATGGTATCACTGGTCACATTCAGGGAACAAAGAGTAGTCAGAGGGACAGGTTAAACTAATGGGACACAAGGTTGAAATGCCTTGGAACATGGCCTTGGGACTCCTTCTGTCTCATCCAGCCCAGTCAGGTCTTTCAGGGCAGGCCCCATTTTTGCTACAGCCTGCCTGGTCCCTGGAGCCTCCCCTTTACAAGGAGAAAGCCACACCAGCCCCTGCTGGCCTTCAGTGGCCAACAGAATTTAAATGTAAATGTGAACAGCCACATATGGCTGATGGCTCCTACATTGAACAGCATCACTCTAGAATGTTCCAGTCCAGCATTGTCCAATAATGGGACCATGATGGGAATGTTCTAGATCTGCGCTCTCCTTTACAAGAGATGCCGGCCACACCAAGTGATTGAACATCTGAAATATGGCTTGTGCATTTCAGAAACCGAACTTTTAATTTTGTTTTAATTAAATTTAAATAGCCACAAACAAAAAAAGGGAAAGCATCTAGGCAAAGTACTTTGCTATGCAAACTTTGAAATACTTTTAATCCAGGGAAGCAGGAAGGCCAGAGTGCCTAGAAATTGTGGTAACTGTGTGTGTGCAGACGTTCTGATCAGAGTGTCCCTAAAACAACCAAGGCCACGGAGGAGGGGGTGACCCTGGGTTCCCGGGGGGCCCGGCATCCTCACGAGGCCCTCACGAGGGGGAGGCAGAGGGTGGGAGTCCCAGAGATGGGCAGACCCCACGCTGCTGGCGGTGAGGATGGAGGGGGGGCCGCGGGCCAGGAAAAGGCAGGAGCCGGGTCTCCCTGGGGCCCTGGGGAGGTGACAAGCCCTGCCCACGCTGGGGTTTTAGTACTTCTGAAACCCGATTGTCAGAGAGTCAGTGTGAGTGGTTTAAGCAGCCAAGTTTATGATGAGTTGTGCAGTACTCCCGGGAGACTCGCACGGCTGGGGTAGAGTTACCCCAAACCCTTGCAGATACAGCTGACCCTATGGCCTGCATAGGGGGAAAAAATGGGCTAAGACATCTTGTGGTGTCAGGAAGTAAGTACATGTTCAAGAAGTCCACAAGGATAGGGTGAGTCCAAGGGACACAGGAGCTGCCATCTGAAAGAGCTCCCAGTGGCTGGAGCTGAAGCATGTCACCCCTGAAAATACAGGACACCCAGTGAATTTGAGCCTCAGGTAAACAACGAATCTTGTTTAATATCTCCCAGATTTTGCATGGGACCTCCTTCTACCTAACAACGATTGGTTACTTACCTGAAATTCAGATTTAACCGGACGTATTTTTATTTGTTGAATTTGGTAAGAAGTGGAGCGGGAAGAGAGAGCAATCCATTGATTCACAGGGAGACGCGTGTACCTGCGAGCTCCAACCCCTGGCTCTGAAATTCTGCCTGGCAGGTAAAGGTGAGGCCAAGCTAATGGGTCATG